ATCGTTATCAAACGAATTGATTCGGTCTCGAATCAAAAACAAAACAAAAATCAATAAACCATAGTACTTCAATAAACACGCGATAACTACGAGGAGTCAATATTCAATCTTTGGGCTTGAAAGTTCTAAATCATGCTTGTTGGGCCTTGCTAGCCCAATAGCATGATCTTTGGGCCCGAAGGGGACGCGCTTACATGTTAATGGGCCTTCTATGACCTAATTCCATGTAAAAGGACTTTCAATAGCTCTATCGTGCTGTTGGGCCCCAAGGGCCCATTAGTACTGCTAGCGAAGTCGAGAAGTCAAATGCGAGTCAGGCTAAGTGCCTTTCGCATTCCTAATAGCCTTGAATGACTTATGGAAATAAAGGAGGCTTCTTACCCTCCTTTCTCCTTGGTTGTGGGGCTATGAGAAACCGAGTAAGCAGATTCGTGACGTTAAACAAGAGAAGTCACGGTGGTTGGATTATGTGAGTAGTATGGACGACGCCTCAAGGATCGTTCATAATTTGTAGTTATAAACTAGTCATTTTCAATAATGCGTGATTGTAACAACTCACAACCCTTAATTAATCCCATGTCACCTGGGTAATCAAAAACAATCATCGTATCGGTATAACAATAAACAAGTCATGTAATTTATGCATTGAGAAAACATCGGGTTTTCCCGGGGAGTTCAACATTTTAACCTATGTGATGTATGCAAAGTTCAACAATTATTCATGTTTTCAAAATCGACAAGCATATTTACGGATCTTCACACTTTTTTTTTTACAAATACTCTTTTCAGAAAATATCGGATTTTCTGGGTTTGCAATCTTCACAAAAATCAATTTTCCATAACATTACTTATGAACTCACCAACATTTCATATGTTGACCGTTTTCAAAATAACTTGTATTCTCAGGTAACAGGTAAATAGAAGAATATGTATCAAGTTATGTCATGGTGTTTTGCTTAGATTAATGATCAAACGGTTTATGTTATGGAATTGTAATGTTTAAAACAATGTACTGAATGTAAACAATATCAGTTGTAATATTTCAATGCATGGTGATGAAAGATGTTATGATTCATGTATAATCATTGTAATGGTATTCAATTAAGTCACAATAGCCCACGGACGTTTCCGCCGTCTGGTTCGGGGGTGTGACAAATACTGGCATGATAGTTGTTGTAGGATAACTCGACCAGTAGAATGTAAGTATCCCGACTCCCTCCAACATCTAACACACAAGCCCACAACATATCTTCGAGCATCTGAATCATCCGCTCGCTCTGAACATCGGTCTAGGGATGATATGTTGAACTGAAGTGCAACTGAGTACCCAACTCCTCATGAAACTTCTTCCAAAAACTAGAGGCAAAACGAACATATTGGTTCGAAACTACGAAAACTGACAACCCATGCCAACCCACCATCTCTCGATTGTAAATGCTGACCAACTTTTAAGTAGATATACTCTTGACGATCGGAATGAAATGTTTATTCTTGGTTAATCTATCAACAATGACCCAGATAGAATCAACTATTTGTTTCGTCCTTGGTAGCTTTGTGATAAAATCAATGGTAATATCATCCTACTTCCAAATGGGGATAGGTAAAGGTTGCATCTTTCCATGAGGCATATGATGCTCGACCTTGACTTTCCGACAAGTCAGGCACCACTCCACAAACCAAGTTATCTTCTTTTTCATACAGGACCACCAATAACTCAGCTTCAAATCTCTATACGTCTTTGTGGCCCCGGATGGATCGAAGACTTTGACTTATGAGCCTCTTCTAAAACAGTCTACCTCACCCCACCAGTAGTCGGAACCCAAATTATACCACGCCTACTCAACAATCCCCAACCGTCTCTAAAAAAATATAGGAATCTGCCCCTGATCCCCTCTGCCTTCCGATTCTCCATTTTAAGTTCCTCTACATGAGATTTCTTGATCATATACAACAAAGGCGAAATAATAACCATCCTTAGACACACATTCCCAAAAGATATACTCACTGAATTCTGGCTCAAGACGTCGGGCATTACATTGGCCTTCCTAGAGTGGTACATGATCTCGCAATCATAATCATTTACTATATACAACCATCTCCGCTGCTTCATATTCAAGTTTAAGTGGTCCATCAGGTACCTCAGACTCTTGTAATCACAACAAGCAAACAAGAAGGGGGACTCGACGAGTTGCCCTAAAAACTCGATGAGTTGGATCGGGTTTCACCGCCTTCTGAATATCAAGTGAACTCGTCGAGTGGATGAAACAACTCGACAAGTTGGCTAGGGTTTGATCAGGTTGTCTAGACTCGGTAGGAACTCGACGAGTCACTAGATACACTCGACGAGTTGAGATTAACATGGACTGTTGACTTTGACTTTGACTAAGGTTGACCAAAGTTTAACGCACTTATTAAAACATTAGAATTTAAAAAAATCGTATCATTTTCTTGCAGCAGGAGTTCTGAATTCTGAATGAGTATCCCTTCCAGATGCTTGCTCTAGACGAGCTTTGCAAAAGGGTCTGGTCAAAGAGCGTAGGTATAAATTCTAAATTTTTTTTATTAACGCTTTTGATGCTGAACAAGATAGCAACATAGTTGTGTAATATAGTTGAGCAGGACGTTTACAAGGATGTTGACAAGGCTATAGAAAATAGATTTTTGATAGTTGGCTTTAAAGTTAAAATAGTCAAAGAAAATATTTAAGAAAGGTAAACTTTTGACGAGTCTTTATATGTCATAATACCCTTAGTTTGTTGATTTAGTAAGCTTTTTGGTCCTACGTAAATGATAACTTTGTTACGCAATTCCTTTTGCCGATTCCATTTTATATATATTTTTTGTAGTATATATTCTATATTTTCTCATTGAGAAATTGAATGTTTGAGTACATCAAGCCATCAAACGTTCTCTTAATTCCTTAGCTCAAATGACATACAAGTCTAGGAACTCAACTCATCAACCACATCAAAATTGATAAAATAACTTCAGAAAGATTTGAGTGTTACATGATCAGTTCAAAACTTCTCTTATAGATTTTTGACATCCCCTAATATCTTAATAAATGTATAAGAGCAACTAAAAACACCCCTTACCCATCACGACCATTTTAACGATTATGATAGAAGGCATACTGCCAAACGAGTAGACCTGGCAAACGTGTTGTGTCAAGACATTAAACGGGTTGAAAGAACTTAACCCTAATACGACCTGTTTAATTATCGTGTCGTGCCGTGTCCACCCGTTTATTTCTGTGTCTGTTTCATGTCAGTTTTTGGGTTAATGTTTAGATCTTGTAAATATATTGTGTCATGTCGAGTTGAAATATTTTAAATGTTGGAAAGTAGGAGTTGTGAAGACAAAAAGGAAAAGTGAAACACTGAAGTTATGAGATGAAATGATAAAATTTATAGTAAGTTTAGAAGAAAAAATGAAAAGAGTTAAAGTTGGGGAGCAAAAATAGATGGTAAGAATGACTAAAATTAAGTAACTTTGAAAATTTAAATATTATTTCTAATTATTGAGTTTGGTCCACTGCAAGTCTATAACATATAATATATTTATAAAAATATGAACTCTATAATAAATAATATATAATTAAACGGGTCATATTCGACTCATCTTCGAGTTGAAAAATCTTGACCCTAACCCTACCTGTTTAATTATCGTATCGTGTCAATCCATTTACATAAACGTGTCGAAATCTCTGATCCTAACCTGCTAATTTCGTGTCGGGTTTTCGTGTCGTACCATGTTTTGCCAGATCTACAAACGAGATGCAAGGGTGGACGAGGAAGGTGAGTGTGAAGGGTCCATAACTCCATAATAGTAATAACGTCAACAATAAAGGGTGATACCAACGTACATGTCATCAAAAATCCAACTATTTGTCCAATAATAAAGAGGGATTTTTTTTTTAAAAACGTTTTCTCTAAACTTTTCTTTTTATGACGGACATAAACATTTTGCAATATCTCAAAGATTTGAAAGTAACTATTAAATTGCATATGAATTTAAAACGAGTAACCGCGTTAACGGCGGTGCGACGCCGATAATTTGTATCACATGCGACGTGGTGCTGGACAGCCCTAATTTTGACCTTATTTATTAATAATCCTTCTTCCCACTTGATCTCTCTCCTCACCGTCGATCTATCAATCAACAGTCAAGATTCTTTCTCAGATTTACTAAAAGTGTAATTTACATTTGGGATCAAGATCTATGATAGTGGGCCCCACATCAAGTAGCTGTTGGCTAATCAGACATAAGTCCCTTCAATAGGTACGGTTGATTGCCGAAAATCACCAATCCTCCAATCCAACGGTCCTAAATAATCCTCGTGAAAAACAATGCAGCAGCAAATACCATAGGGCAATTTCCCAGATCCAACAACCCCTTTTTTCACACCTTATTTATACTTACACCCCCTTTTATTTTATGGATTTAATCTTGTCTTTCATGAATTTTTATGCTTACCCTAAGCTTCTTTCAACAGACCAAAATGTCAAAACAAGTAACCACTTTTTTTTATTATTTTTATTTTTTTATTTTTTATGTTTTATGTTTTTTTATATTTTTTTTATGATTACTTATATATGTGACAAAATGTCTAAAATTTTAAAAAAAAAACAATTAGATTATGATAAATATATGTATTGTCTAGTGTCTACAAAGTATTTACTCTAAAAATGTAGCTTCATTACCACATTACAAATCAAGAAAAATATCATTTCATATATATATATATATATATATATATATATATATATATATATATATATAATATCTAAGAAAGAAAGGGGAAGAAAAGAAAAAAGCAAGGAAAAGTAGAGAAATCAAAGCTTAAATGATGTTTGGTAAGTTGTTGTCTTACATAACATCACACATATTCCTATTTAGGATGGTATTCACACGTGAGATATCTCAGATCATGTCAATCTTTCGGATGTCTACAAGCACGCATACCATATATCCTAATGTCTTGTTCAAAGGAAAAGTCTTTCTTTTTTAGCTATGTTGCAACATCAAATGATATGTGATTATAATTAACAACTTATATTCACTTGATACACGAATAAAATGAATATGACATTATAAAATTGAGTAATGGAACCTTTTATGTCCATTGAAGAGATTTGATGGTTTTGGGTTGCAATTGGATTTATAGAATCAAAAGGGACTTCAAATCTACTAATGAAAAATGATGAAGGATGTAGAGTGTAAGATTTAGATATTCTTTTTAATCTTCGTAAGCCGTCTTTCACATCTCTTTCCCTTCATCCTTCCCTCTCACAAACAAGGAACTCTGGTTCGTCTCTCCGGCCAGACCTCCGTCGTCGTCTTCCTCTCTCTACACCTTAATACACCGTCGCAGAGTTTTAGGTACGAGAGAAGAGAAGATAACGGAGGAGAGGAAAGGAGTTAACACAGAAAAGGATTTCAAGATGCAGCCAACCAACGGCAGCGGCGGCGGTGATTTGACCCAGCAACAACAGCAGCAACAGCAACAGTGGTTGGCGATGCAGCAGTTCCAGCAACAACAATGGTTAGCGATGCAGCAGTACCCGGCGGCGGCTGCGTCAATGGGGATGCACCATCCAGCGATGATGTACCAACAACCACCGCCACACTATATGCCTTATCATTATCAGCAGCAGCAGTATCAGCAACAGCAGTCGCAACAATCGCAAAAAGGCAATCAGATTCAGACTTCGAGCGAAGATAATAAGACGATCTGGGTTGGCGATCTACAGCACTGGATGGACGAAGCTTACCTTCAGTCGTGCTTCGCACAGACCGGCGAGGTTAGGGTTTTGACTTTTTATTCCGCGTTCTTTCCATTATTGTGTTACGTTGATTCTTTATTCAGTGAATATGTACTTTTGTCGTTTGCGGAATGTATTTTTTGTGAATTGAAAAGCCAAGAGTACAATTCGGTAGCAGGAAGCGATTTATTCTTCTCATTCCAAAAAAAAAAACCCTTTCTCACCATGCCAAAACTAGTAGTCTTCATATGCAAACATTTTATATCTTTCGTTCCATATAAATCCCAAAGAAATTAAGATCCTTGAAGGTCCTCGAAATTGGATTTCTGCGTTTAATGCCCTAAACTTTGCAGGTATCATCCATAAAGCTGATTCGCAACAAGCAGACTGGTCAATCAGAGCGTTATGGATTCATCGAGTTCTTGTCTCATGAAGCTGCAGACAAAGTCCTTCAAAGCTACAATGGAACAATGATGCCAACCACAGATCAAGCTTTCCGATTGAACTGGGCTAGCTTTAGTACCGGAGAAAAACGTGCAGAAATAGGCTCAGATCTTTCTATATTCATAGGAGATTTAGCTCCAGATGTTACTGATACAATTCTGTATGAAACATTCGCTGGTAGATATCCCTCTGTGAAAGGTGCCAAAGTCGTTGTTGATACAAACACCGGGTGTTCAAAAGGGTATGGATTTGTTAGGTTTAGCGATGAAAATGAAAGAACAAGGGCTATGAATGAAATGAATGGTCAGTATTGTTCAAGTAGGCCTATGCGCATTGGTGTTGCTACCCCTAAAAAAGCACCTATTCAACAACAATATGGACAACAACAATACTCATCTCAAGGTAAATCCATATCTAGCATTCCCAACTCATTTTAAAAACTGCATTTGTAATGGTTGTGTACTTTTAGCTGTGTTATTAGCTGGTGGAAATGGTGGATTTGGTGCTATTCCTCAAAACTCTCAGTCTGATGGAGACTCCTCAAACACAACAGTGAGTTTCATCGGTTCTTTCGTGAGTTAATTAGCATTGCTTTGTTTTACTTTACCGAAATGTTTATTATTATTTTTTTTTTATAGATATTTGTGGGGGGACTTGACTCTGAGGTTACTGATGAAGACTTGAGGCAAACATTTTCTCAATGTGGAGAGATTTTATCTATTAAAATACCTCTAGGAAAAGGATGTGGTTTTGTGCAATTTGCAAACAGGTAATTATTTATTTATTTATTTATTATATATAAGAAGATTTGGTTTTTGCTAATGAGGTTGTTTGGATTTGTGTATACAGAAGCAGTGCCGAGGATGCAATTCAGAATATGCATGGCACAGTGATAGGGAAGCAGACTGTTCGTATATCGTGGGGTAAAACGCCTGCTAATAGACAGGTATATATTTCTTTCTTTTTATTGATTGGATTCTTAAATTAGATTGATATTGATTTATAATATAGATATTTAAGTTATTTAAAAATTCAATGCTTTTTGATAAAGTGTATTTTTAATATTTACGATAACTAGGTTAATACCACATGGGTGACAAATTGAAATAACATAAGTAATAAAAGAATAGACAACAAAAATCTAATCTATGTATATAAATAATTTATTTTGATTATGATTGCTTGATAGGATAATTTCTGGAGCTATTGAAATAGAAAAGATGTTGAGTCAAATTTATTAGAAACTAATAAATGTAAGAGCATTAATTGTTGATAATCCATTTAAGGTTAAAGAAGATGCTTAAGATGTTGTAGTAGGTTGGTGGCTATTTAAAAAAAAATAAATAAATAAATAACTGTCTACATCTAAAAGTCAAGTACTCCCACAAAAATTTATTAGTTATTATTAAATAGTATATGCGGTAGAATTTAAAACTAGAAAATATTTATGTTACAATTTTATTTTGTAAAATAACTAGAAACATTTATTATAACGTATGACTTTTCTTGAGCATTTCGTTGTTGTAATGATTCTGATTTGATGCTACTTGAATTATTTAGGTTATGATTATATAATCCACTTTAATTTAATGTCGAATAAATGGGGACCCAAAATGATATTTTATGATTTTTTTTAAAACTTTCTGTATGTGAAATGACAGAGGATGGGTGGTTCCAATGGAAACTACTACCAGAAGCAAGGTGGTTATGGTGGTGGTGGTTATGGATATGGTGGCCAACAGACTCAAGATTCCGGTATGTATGGTGGTGCAGATGCATCCACTTATGAATCAAACGGGTACAACCACCATCAGCAGCCTGTGAGCTGATGTTCCTCGAATTTATTCAAAGTCTGAACACCATATGATAAGATTTTAAAAACCTATTAATGTTCCTTTTGTGGGATATATATTTTTCTATGAATGTAACTGGAATTTTGTGAGCCATTCTTTTTCTATATTACTGCTTAAAGACAGTTAATTAATTAGGATATTTAAGCTTTTGATTCTACTTACTTTTTGTGTTGATAAGGGTTTTGGAGTTGCAAGTTTTAGTTTTGAGTCGTTCCTTAAGGTAGGTGCCCCGGATTTGGTTTCTTTAATCGTATATATAAAAGTGATTCCTCCAGTCCTTTGGGCCTCTGGGCATTACCCTTTAAAGATTTGTAGCTTTTGTTGATAGATATATGTTTCAGAACTTTTTTTTTTGGTCTACAGTATGCTTTATCTATTGAAGTTGGACTTTTACTTTAATTTGAGCTAGATACTTTATAAGTTAGTTTTTGGAGTTTACAAGTACTTCCATATGCTTTAAAGTTGCAGAGAGTACAGCTTTTCTTTTGTTCTTTTGTGTGATTTGGATGAATTTGAGTTGGTTGTGCTACATATAATTTCCACTATATGATGGATTAGTAGCTTAGAATCCAATAACAAAGAGTTCTAGTCTTCTAGATCATTTAGATTGGTAGGCCTAAATATTGTAAGATTTGTCTTTAAATTTGAATAAAATGATAAGATAAATAAATTGAGTGCAAAACACCAAATTTTTTAAAACGATAAGCTAGAGTATAGGAAAAAACAAGGGTAACTTATATCATTCGGCTCTTGTATAGGTATCAAAAAGCACGTTTAGTTTCTATTTTTAAAAATTAACTCGGACCGTTCTTATATTTGTTTTTTCTTGCACGTTTAGTTCCTATTGACATGAAATTATTATATTGCCCTTATTAATTTGTTTTTATGTTTTTCAATTCATTTATATTACCCTTAATTCATTTATATAATTATTTTAATTATTAAAATAGTAGGTCCCATTCTCTTTTATCACTCCTTCCTTATCTTCCTCTCTCTGTTGAACCAGTCCTTTAATTGCAGTGAGAGCTTCAACACCACCGACCATTTGCAGCAATCCGGCAACCATTTTCGAAAATCGCCACCACTAGTGAAAAATACCCGATATCAAAATTAATGTTTAGATCCCAAAGCAAACCTAAAACACACACACATACACACTTGCTTGGAAATCGTTTCGACAAATCCCAGAAAAATGTTTGAAGTTCTTGAGTTCCAGATTCAAGAGTATTGACAGAGTGCTTCAAGAAACACTTGAAAACGTTTTGACAAATCTTATAAATCGCTTATAAAATTTTTGGAAAATCAACCATCTAGATTTGTAACTCATTCCCATCGATCATCTAGATCTATAAACTCGTGCCCAAAAAATTAGTTGAAGAAATTACTGAAATCATTTGGGAGAATAAACCTACAATAAACCCTAGAACTCTATGAATAAGAACACGAAGTTCATCCATGGCAAATTTAGAGCACAAAGTTTTGATGTTCAATTTTGTTTTCTAATTCGGGCTTGTGTGTAGCTTAAGTTTCGGGTTTTGATTCTTAGGACATACGATGATGGATCAGAGAGAGAGAGAGAGAGAGAGAGAGTTTGGGACGGTCGCATTCATTTGCCATGGATGAACCAGTGAAATCTAGAACAACACCAAATATGGTGGTGGTTTCAGGATGATGGTTTGGTTCTCGTGATGTTTTTCGTTGCCATTCTTCGTCTTTCATGTTGTATATAAGCTTTAGAATACATATTAGCGGAAGTGGTTTTCAAAGGATTTAAGTGGCAAACCACTGGTTTTCGGTGGTGTTTGGAGGTGTTGGTGAGCTAAGACGATGATACGGCGATGTTGGTGGGACCGTTTACCTTTTTAAATAATCAAATAATAAATAATCTAGAAAAAGAATAATAATAAATGAAAAACAAATACACTAAGGGTATTATGAACATTTTAGATCTAGCATGGACTACATTTGAAACAAAAATGCATATCAGGGACGATGTGTGCAAGTTTGAAGCAAGCGAGGGACGGTCTAAGTTAATTTTTGAAAATAGGAACTAAACGTGCGTTTGGACATATGCACGAGGGATTGAATGGTGTAATTTACCCAAAAAAAAAAGTAAAACAACCAAGGGTGAACTCATGACAAAATTTCTAGGGCTATGAGACCGGTTAGAGCATCTACACCAACACTACCATTTAAATGTAAAGTTGTTGTACATAAAGGAAGTTGTATTTGGCTCCTAGGGTGTGATTGTTTATGAGGTGGTATATGTCTGGTTTAAACACCAACCGGTATATATATCACATAACATATATGAAAGAATCACACAGACAACTAACATCCTAATCATAATAAACCATGGGTCAGCATTAGCGCCTTCGACCAGCCAAGTGCAGTGAGGAAACTCACCTCAAACTGCTGAGTATCTCAGATAAAAGCTCGGACTACTAATCCAGAAAATCCCCGCGCTAACACCGTCAAATAATACCTAATTAGTAATAGGTCCACAACCCATAACATGGAATCCTAGTCTAATTTTCCAACACTCAGGGTAAAAGACCATTTTACTCTTTCCTTATGTGGCCTAAAATTTGAGGCCCAATCCAATAGCACTAAAAAGCCCAATATGACCCAAAGTTCTAAAAGATTCCCAAAACCCATTATGTGCCCAAACACCAGAAGGCCTAGAGCACAACAATGCTAAAGCAGAAGGATTGATGGCCCAGCAAGACATAAACTCCACCTAGTTTGAAAATGGCCCAAAGTCGCAAAAGCCCAACCTAGGCCTAGTACCCTGCGTGTACCAGACGTATGCCCTCCCTACTAGGTTGCATGCCTGGTCGCGGACACAAGCATGTACGCGCCTATTATTCACTTTTCCTTAAGTGCTTAATACTTGCATTCCAACATCTAAATTTCATATTCAAGTCTAAATGAACATCTTAATCGTAAAAGTTGAATAATTTAAGCCTTTGCATGGCTAAAAACACCCCAAAGTCCAAATCTAACATTTTAACTCCATTATGAAGAACATCAACCTTGCATGGTTGATCTAAACCCATCAAGCTATCATTTTTATGTACAAGAGGCCTCAGAAGAGCCAAGATCTATCATCCCAAACTTATAGAGTAGCCCATACTCCGAAGCATGTCTAAAAGGACCAAAAATGCATAAATAAAGCCCTAAACTAGATCTATCATAATGAACCATCAAGTTAGGAGCTTTATACCTCAAATGTCTTGCAAAGTTGATGAACATTCTAGATCTTCAAGCCCCAAGTCCACCAAAGCTTCACCACCAAGCTTCAGTTCCTTCAAGAGACCCAAAACACCACAAGATCACACAATGACTCACAAACACTCAAATAAGGGCTAGGGTTTTGTTATTAGGGTGTGGAGAAACGGAGGCTGGCCATAAAAAGCTTCGAAAGCAACATAAGTTGATTAAATAGGGGATACACCCTAAAAATTAGGGGTTTCCCCTGATAAGCATACGCCCAACATACTCCCGCATACACCCAGCGTACGTGGGTGCCTTCGCGTCTAACCATCGAGCCAGTATGCCCAACGTACTCACATAGTACGCTCAACATACTCGGCTAGGGACCAAAATGAAAGGAATTTACAATGAATGGCTAAAAGGGAAGAAAACCTAAAATATAGTGTTACACAAGGGACCAATAATGTAAACTTTAATAAGCCCAATGAATAAAATGGAAATACCAGAAAATTGGATGTTACAAAATTAACATGATGAGTTTTCATATTTTAAAGGGAAAATGTCAATTTAACCCTATAGTTACCGGTAAACTATGGCACATGATAATTTGTACAAATGTGGCTGCTTAGTATGAGCATATGTTGCTGCAAATCATCACCGAAGTCTTCAATTTTAACCAACAACTTTCAGTTTTGACAATTAGCATCTTCATTCCTCTAAATCGGACAATAAATGCATCCATCGAAAGTCAGTTGACAACTCTTAATTATGTAAGTGAAAGAAACAACAACTTTTAACATACTCAGTTGTTACTTGACATAATTCAGTTCATACAATGGTTGAATTAGGGCACAATTAGTTCAATCACTATTTGTCTTCCATCGATATGTATTGAATTATGTTATGTTTCCCAAGAAAAATTGTTGAAGATGATACAAATTTCAATTCCAGTCGCCACGGTTTGCAAAAAAAAAAAATCACTATTATTTCATATTATTCTACAATTGTCATTCAGAGATGTTGGTTAAGAGTTAAATTATCTATATACCAATTGCAGATAGTATAACGATACTAGAACATAGAACATGGAATAAGTATGTACAAGTAAGAACTAATTTCAAACATTATATATATATATATATATATATATATATATATATATATATATATATATATATATATATATATATATATATAATGTTTGTAAAACTTGAATTAAATGGTATTATTTGACAACCATGACCTAACATTTAAACTTTTTCGATTAGTTTATTTTGTCATCTCAATTTAGTTTGACACACAATGAGCTTTAAGTGTGAGTTTCAATTCTTGCTATATTCAGACACTATTACACTAATAAAATATGTGGAAATAAAATTTGTTGTTAATCACTCTAGAACACGAATTGATTAGCAACACTATACTAAGTATTGCAAAAGAAAGGGCATGTTGAGGTGGATGGGAAGAAAATCGATACTAATTATCATGTTAGAGAGATGTCTCTCTCGTAAACCCTCTTTAAAAGTCATTACTTAATAAAGATTTGTTACGATGTGAAATGCTGACGAGTTACTACTAGTAACTAGGCAAATGCCCGCGCGTTGCGCAGAAACACCTATATAGTTGAAGTCTTTACAAATATATGTTTTTTTTTAATATAACAATAATGTTGTTGTTAAATTTGATATAATAATTTTTATTCTAAATTGATATAATATATTGATTATTTGAATTATATGATAATATATACATCTATTATAACTTCATAATCTCAATCATTTGAATAACTTCTACCGCGAGTTACACATTAATAAAATTAAATATAATATATGGTTTAATGTTATTTATTGTTGTTGTTATTGTTAATTATTTTTTTTAATTTATTTGCTTAATGCTTTAATTTATATCATTATAATTAATTAAAACATCAAACATTCTTTGGTTTTTTTAGTGGAACTGAAATTTATATTTATGTTGACATTGTAATGCATAGAAACACCTATATAGTTGAAGTTTTTAACATATATGTTTTTTTAAATATAACAATAACGTTGCTGTTAAATTTGATATAATAATTCGTATACAAAATTGATATAATATATTGATTATTCTGAATTATATGATAATATATACATAACTACATAAT